GTCTGAATGAATCGACATTTGTTGGGTGTTATTTCAGCACTTTGCATTTATCTGGGGAACTAATTAACATGTGATATAATTAATACGCGCTGTGATGGAGCGCTGATGTGTCTGATATCAACAGTGTCACTCGTTCACCGACAGATGCAGGATCCGCACACTTTACCAGGTAACAACTTTTCATGTCTACTCCTAAGCTCTTATGACAGTGTATGAAAGGGAATTTGTATGAAGTATTCCTGTGTACATTACGGTATATGTTAGAGCAGAGGAGGTTAACTGACTCAGATACTCTTTGATGCTCTCAGATTGATCAGAACCTGTTGTAATGTGTTTGGATTCTCTGCGATCAGCAGTGATGTTACAGATGCCCAGCAGGATTCACAGGCTGACAAAGAATGTCCAGGAATTTTTCAATTCAGCATCAATATTTTAAGTTAAAAATGCATGCATAATGTATAAGGGAAAGTGCATAATTTAGGTGGTGCATGACTAATCACCCTGTTTTACCTTATTGCATATTTTGCAGGTTACTTATATAGTCTTGTAGTTTGCCAAATAAATTTATAAGTACAAATATTCATAATATATTTAATATAATATAATATATTTTATGACTTACATGCATCTCATATAATCTTGTCACAAATTTCTTGCAGTCTACTTCAATTCAACTGGCTGAAGAAAACATCAGTTTCCTTTAGACTGTCAGAAAAGCTTAGTCTTGTAAGTGCAAAAACATTTGTAGCAACTTTTAAAAGTGATTTTCCTTTCTTAATCTTAAGTAGCTATCTGTTGGAAATTTCTTTTTCACATCATTTATATGAATAATGGTTTATTTACACAACTGAGTTAAAGCTGCTGTGTGCCTGCTCAAAATTCAGCGTAAAAATGTAATGCAAAATAAAAGCCAGACTAAATTAAACCTGCTCTGACCCAGCTCAGCTTCTACTATCAAAGTATATAGTTGTTAATTGCTGTGGAAATGCATTTATGCCACCTCTGAGCAGCATTAAACAGTCTGGTTAAAGACACCTTAAAGCAGCTTCAGAAGTGTTTCTGTGCCACCTTTGTAGTGTAAACTAAAGACTTTACACAGCTGAGTTAAGGCTGCTTTGTGCCTGCTCAAATTCAGTGTAAAGAGGTAATGCAGAATAAATGCCAGACTAAATTATGCGCTTCTGTGCCACTTTGCAGTGATTTTACAGTGTGCCACCTTTACTGAAATAAGGCTGCATTGTGCATACTCAATTTTGTGTAAAGATGCTGACTAAAAGCCAGACTAAATTATGCCTGCTCTGACCCACCCCAGTTCCAGTAGTAAAGTATGCACTTTTTCATACTTGTTATGTATTTTTGTGTAAATGCATTTATGCCGCCTCTGAGCAGCATTAAACAGTCCGTGCCAAGACTCCTATATGCCACTTCAGAAGCGCTTCTGAGCCACTTTTGCAGTGTAATCTAAAGGCCTCTTTACACGGCTGAATTAAGGCTCAAAATCAGTGTTAAAGAAAGATGTAATGCCGCATAAAAGCCAGACTAAATTAAGTCTATGTTAAAGTATATGTGTTAATTGCTGTGCAAATGCATTTATGCCACCTCTGAGCAGCATTAAACAGTCCGTGCCAAGACACCTAAATGCCACTTCAGAAACGCTTCTGAGCCACTTTTGCAGTGTAATCTAAAGGCCTCTTTACACGGCTGAATTAAGGCTCAAAATCAGTGTTAAAGAAAGATGTAATGCCGCATAAAAGCCAGACTAAATTAAGTCTATATTAAAGTATATGTGTTAATTGCAGTGCAAATGCATTTATGCCACCTCTGAGCAGCATTAAACAGTCCATGCACCTAAATGCCACTTCAGAAGCGCTTCTGTTCCACCTTTGCAGTGTAAATTGTACCCTTTTAGTCGACTAAGACAGAAGCGCTTCTGAAGTGGCATGTAGGAGTTGCATGTAAAGTTTCATTCTTTTTGTCACCTGCATCACTTGATATCATCTGTGATGATCTGATGAACAGAGAATCACTATCATCCTGCAAATTTAACGAGCAGGATTAGCATGACAGATGCAGAGGAGATTCACGCTCAAGCAACTCAGCTAAACATGTTTCTGAGTGCCGGAAGCAATAGGTGAGACATTTCTCTTATTCCCATGGTGATGAATAATTAAAAGAGAACGAGAGTGCAATAACACTCATTGACACAGGCGCCAAATTAACCTGCCCAATGGCACCCATGACACTAATCTAATACTTCCAAACCATCAGTCCACATATGCGGAGCATCCAGAGCTGCAGCTGTTTTAGCACATGCGATGAATCTCTGCAGTCTTCAGCTGCGCAGGTGAAGCTGAAATAACCGCTGCAGGGCCGAACACTAAACGGACGGCACACAGAGCCCTCGCTGTCACTCAATTCCTGCCATTAAACTCATTTAGGGAGCATCGACGGCTGTGTGCTCACCGTGGGAAGTAGATTTCACTCAAGCTGCAACTGAGAGACTTAACGAACAGGAAAGGAAGCCCAGGAGACGTGGATATGTATAGGCTTAGATCGATATGCGGCAGGTTAAAGTGCAGAGCTGTTTATCTGAACTCCAGCTACAAACCCTGGGAGAAAACGCTGAGGCTAAGCTCATCTCAAACACTATTACACACCAAAATAGGTTTAGCACACAGTATTTGAGCACAAAAATATTTAGATTACATTGAGCAGAGGCTTTTTATCCAAAATGAGTAACATTGCACTGAAGCTTCACATTTATTTCAGTTAATGCATTCCCTGGAAATCGAAACTATGATCTTGGTGATGCAGTATATATAAAATAGATATATTATTATGTCATATATATATATATATATTTATTTATTTTATTTTATTATTTTTTTTATAATCTGGCCAAATGTGAGTCTCTTTAGAGTCATGATATTTATTTCACTTGATAAAAAAAACACCATGTGTTTGGAAAAGCATGCAAATTTGCTTATAACTAGAATTTCTTGGCCTATAGCCTTGGCTCTGCTTTCTGTAGACTCTTTCTGTCATTAAGAATAGAATGCAATCCATCTTTTCAAGGTCAGCCATGTTGCCTGTCCGTTATGTTGATGTAAAGTTACCGGTCAACACAGAGGCTGGACCATGCTTATGCATCAGCATATTAAAATGAAATGACACTGGGATGACTGGCCTTGAGGCGCATCAGAGTTTGGTGACAGCAGCCAAAGTTAGAAATTAAGGTCACATCTGGTCATAACCCTTGAAACAGTTGGCATGAAATTAAACTACTGCTCTTTTATCTCTTTGGATCTCTTTGGATAAGAATAAAGGACCTTCACAGTTTAATGTAATGCATTTCACCATGCTTAAACTCAGCACAATCTTTACCGCAATTACGGCAGAAACGTGACATAAAGTGGTGTTAGTTATTGCAAATTGAACACTGGAATAAAAAAAAAAGTTTTCCATTACTGATATAAAAAGGGATTTGCAAGCCTAAAATGAGTGAGTGTGTGTGTGTGTGTGTGTGTGTGTGTGTGTGTGTGTGTGTGTGTGTGTGTGTGTGTGTGTGTGT